TGGTAATCTCATAGGTTATTGGTTAGCCTGGTATAAAACCAAAGTTTAGGTTCATAAGCTCATCCCGATGTTAAAGTTCCTAAAGTTTGTTTTAAACTTGAAGACTAACCGCTCCAAGATTCTTGTGGAAATGATACTAACCGCTTCAATTCATCTTTTGAAAGGAATACTCACTATTTATCTCCCTTGTTTGCTGTTTGTTTGGAAGTTAGCCACAAACTTCATTTTTCCTTATATAAGGGGGTTCAAGATTTCAACCTACTAAAAACTCTTAAGTTTATTGGATACTTTCTTGACCAATTCATGGGGACATAACTAATTCATTTTTTACTGAACTTGTATAACTCTTTGTGTTCTTCTTTTTTCTTAACTCTTTACATTACTATATTTTATCTCTTGCAATTGATTTTCCGCTGTATAACTATAGAACTTTTCTAAAAATATTTTTAAACTTTGATTTTAATCTTAAATGTTTTTCAAATTCAAGTTTTACTAAACATTGCAGATACCCCACTTCACTGTATCAGAAACTGTAATCCACAGTCGCCTCCGTTCAAACTTCTCACTTCTAGTTTCAGATTAGAACACTAATAATACCAAACAATAAAAAAATTATCTCATTTTTACTTATTTACCAACCACCTTATTCGTATTCTTTCTTGTAGTTGTATTTCTTTAACTTTATTTTCTCATTGAAACACAACTTTATGGATATCCGGCATTTGGGGGTATAAACATAAAGGAGGATATAAAATAAAAAATAAAAAAAATCAAAACCTCATATCCAATAGAATGAAGTAATCAGGCTGGCTCATTATTATGGGCTGGTATGGAAGGCCCGTTGAACTTATTTGGCAGTATTTTCCATTTCCAGAAGATGGTAAATATTCTTCTAATGGGGATTGAAACTTCATCCCAATCATGCCAGAATATACATTCATCCAAGCAAGCTCACAATCAAGCCAAAAAGTGCCTTTGGTTTTGTCTAACTAGCACAGCAAGTACCAACATGATTCACCATCCACCACCACTAGTCATCACCACCATCAACGGTTTAAGAGTCTAACAATCAACAACTATCACCATTCTAATAACCAACAATCGGCATTTTAATAAGCATAAGTTGGACAACAATAATTTTTAACCACTAGTACTAAAATTACTATTAAATAAGTATATCATATATTTGTAATATTTTAACTATTTTACAACTCTTTAGTATGAATTATTTAAATTAAAATATATTTATTATAAACATTTATTTTTATATTTATATTTAAAACTGATTTTGGTTTTCCATAAATTTTGTGATTCAAAACTAAGGCAACTAACATTTAAGTGTCGGTAGTGGTGATGGTGGTATAAGTATAAAATGAATGAGTAGTAGCAATATGGATTCATTGGATTGTGATAGCGCAGTTGTCGTGCGACTTAATTTGGTTGCAGTGTTAATATAGCTGCATAATCATCATGATAACGATTCTGATTGTGAGAATTAGAGGCATCAGTATGACAGCAGCAGAGCAATGAAAGTGACACCACTAGCAAATAAGTTACTGTCTAACAAAATTTGGGTCTAAACTTTTGGCCTACTAAGTTTGATGTAAACAAGTACTCTAATTAGCTAGGCATGTGTTTAATTATGCTTTGACTAGAATTAATTTGACTAATTAATATTTGATAATGGTTAATTAAAAATAAAATAAAAATAGTATTGATATGGCTATGGATTGAGTTTCCGAGTTTTCAAATTTTAAAATTTCAATTAGGCTATCGGAATCAAATATCAACAAATTTAAATGAGTTGGTTTAAATTAAACTTTTACATAATTTTTTTTTATGGGAAGATAATTTAATTGATAGAATAGAGTTCGAAGAATCCGAACTAATATAAGAACTGCTCTTTCATACTGATAATTTCAAATTGTCTGATGCTTAATAATAGTTTTAAGAACGGTTCTTTTCTGCATATTAATAGAAGTAGCAACAGTTGTGCTCATTTACTTGTTGGGTTAGGCCATGCTTTTCGCTCTAAAACTTGTCTGGGTTTTTATCCCATGGATTTTACATAATTGAGTTGGATATAAATAGATGATTGCTCTTTGTACTTTAAGTAGTGAATAGTCATCTTTATGAAATTCGAAAATGCCTTTGCCACAGTTTACAATTATATTTTCGGACGCTTATAAAACACATTAAAACACTTCGTAAGCGAATCATCTCTTATTTTACAGACTAACCTCTAAACATATTTTAAATTTAAGATAGTGTGTTTATTTTACAATTCATTGAAGAATCTGAATGTTAAGTTCTAGATTAACCCTCAGAATTGTAAATTTTCCACTATGAAATAAGTTTATTATAAATTTGACATATTTTAATTAACCATATATTTTAAGTTATTTATACAAAATATACATAATTGTTAAAATAGTGAGGTGTCTAAGAGGCCTTATAAAAAAACACAAAAATCGAAATAACAAGTTCAGCATGCTAAACTTCTGAGATTTTCAGGGGTAGTAACAGGACACACATGTCTTTAGAAATATGATGTCGAATACACGTGAACTCGAGAAGACGATATTTTGCATCAAATGAAGTGACACCAATGATATATGTTGGATCACTCTACCATATCTCAATTTTTCTCGATTGTTAAATATTTTATCTTTAATTAAATTATAAAAATTATATCATAATCAAATAAGTCAAATCTAATAACAGATCAGACAAGATCAATCAAACTAGGTATATTAAAAAATTCTAAAGTTAACTTCACTCGATAAAATCAGAAGAATATAGTGAGATTTTTACTGTTCTACCCCATTGTTGAAATTTATATGCCAAAGTACCCCATTCTGAATTTTTTTTTACCCAGATGCCCTAAAGTTAGTACGTGCTCGTCCATTGAGATGACGAGCAGATGAAGACATTTTGTGCATGAAGGTGCTCGTCCACTAGGTTGGCGAGCACCTTAGTATTTTAATATTTTTTCATTTTTTCAGATTATTTTATTATATAAATCTTTTATTTAATAATTTTAATTATTAAAAACATATTATATTAATTTAATAATTATGTATTAATTAAAAATAATTTTTTGTTCAATATTAAAATTAAATGTAATAAAAAAAATATATTAAAAAACAAAGTTTATTCAAACAAAATTAAATGCAATAAATATTTTTGTATTGATTATTGACAAATAAAATACATAACATCAAAAATGGTTGTCTGTTCCACACCTAGTGCCATTTTTTAGTCGATGTCCTCTGCCCATACGTTCATTTGTATTTATTGTAGGTGATGGAGATGAATCAGAAGACATATCTTGATCGTGATGTGTTGTAAGGGGTCTGCTTGCCTTGAAGGTCATCAATGTTAAAATCTGACATTTGCATTAGTTGATCCTTCGTCAGCAAAAAATGTTGGAATAAATACGATGGTTGTGGTGGTTGTGTGTAGGTATTGGGTTGGGTATGTTGGAGGGTTGGGTAGTAGACATCATCATCCGTGAAGGTGGAAGTGGGTTGAGGAATGAAGTGTTGAAGGTTTGTTGTTGAGATGTAGGGTTTGATTGGTCAAAGTTTGACGGAGGAACTGGAGTGAACTGTAATGCTGGTCGAAGGGTGGATTGATGTTGATAATGTTGGTTGTAGTTGTAGTGGCAGTTTTGTTAAGGGAGTGGAGTGTTGGGAGTTTGGTGTTGGGATGAGGTTACATAGAATGTGTGTTGTTCGGTGGTCTGTGTGCGATGGTATGTATGTTGAGCGGATGAAGATGTGTGTCCCCCAAATTGGGATGTGTACATTGGTGGCATATCCCGATGCATTGGTGCGGCAATTGGTTGTGTTGAAGACGAACCTTGCATACGAGGGTCGATTAAAAATTGGTCTTGAGCAATATACACATAAAGAATTGCACAAAACCAATTTAAATACTCTTGACTTGTCTTGTGTTCACCAACTACCACACCCTCTGTAAAACCAAATGTCTTCTGTGTTTCCATTCATTCACCTCATATTTGTTTAGTTCTCGCCAATGAACTTTTTGGACTGTTTTCATCGTCATTGTGTGGTATTCCCTTAGACACCTTGGCGGGGAAGGAATTTCTTGTTCAAAACCGAACTGGAGTTTGACCCTATTTATTTCATGCATTTCAACAGTATAGAAACAGATAAGAGAAGTTGTAGCACTCCAGATCTGGCTGTCTCTTAGATTGGGCATCGAGAATTGAATGTACGGCCTCCATATAAACTGCCACAAATAAAAAAATTAGAATACAATTAAGAAGTATATGCAAAATGTAGGTTCTATGGTTTCAAACTCATGTCTTTTTCTTTCATGTGATCCAGTGCGTTTCGATACCCTTGTAGATGGAAATGAGGATTAGCATCGTAATTCATACGTCGTTGGGTCCATCTTGCAGAAATAAAAAAATAAATATAAATGTTAGGTATAGTTGATTAAGAAGATAATAAAGTTCATTTTTATATTAGTAATACCTTCGAGCGCATGGAAATGATGACTGCAATGTACTAACAGGAGCAAACAAGGGTATACGCGTCAATGCCCAAGTAGTGAGTAGTACGACACAACCACTCATGCTCCTGACATCTTTGACCGCGACCTTGCATATTTCTCTGTACAGTTTTTCCAGACAAGTAAAATCCTAACTAAAGTTGTTGCATTTTTCTAGATCCCCTACGAAAGGAATCCAAGAAGAATGCAACAGATTTTGACTCTTGTCGGAAAATAAAATAGTAGCAATTACAAGTAAAATATAAATTTTAGCTTATAAAATAGTATTTCTTGGGTTGGGGAAGAGGTATTGTTTAAAACTTCGTATAAATTCTCTAGTCAAGTAATCTTAATGGACCCTTTATTTTTATCAGCTGTTGTAGGTTCTACCCCTAAGTTCTCAATGTAAACATTGTTAGTTACTTCAGTAGAACCGTTAATAGCTTTTCCATCAACTCGGAGGGCAACGTTGGAGACATATGACATCTAACTTGGCAGAAGCCATGAATTTTGTACTAAAGGCAACCCGAAACCTTCCAATCACTGCATTGGTCCAATCTACATACTATTGCATGGGTTCCCTCTTTGGTAAAAGACCTCACAAATGGACCAAAATGCTGGGTACCGGTAAAGTTTTCACGGATGGTTGCAACAAGGGAATGACTGATGAAGTAGCCAAGTCTAACACACATAATGTCATGCAACTTGATCGCGAAAGATTATGTTTCATGGTGCAGGAAAAAGTTAATCAGAATGATGATCGTCCGACATGTACTTTCAGCGTTGACCTGAGAAATCGTTGGTGTGACTGTGGGAAATTTCAGGCATTTCACTTACCTTGCTCTCACATTATTGCAACATGTTCTAGTATACGTCAAGACTACTCCATTCACATTCTAGAAGTCTTCACAGTTCTTAACGTATTCAAAGTCTACAAAGAAAGCTTCTTGGGACAACCTCACGAGGAGAACTGGCCAAAATATGAAGGATTTACTTTTTGCCACGATGATTCTATGAGAAGAAATAAGAAGAGACGTCCAACCAGTAGTAGGATTAGAATCGAAACGGACGACGTTGAAAAGGAAAAGAGAAGGTGTGGGATTTGCAGAGAAATAGGCCATATGCGTAGAAAATGTCCAAATGTTGCAGGCCCGTCAAACCGACCGTCTAGATAATTTTATTTGTTTTTCAAGTTAATCAGTTAGTAAAGTTTTTAGCTTGCACTTGATTTCTCTGTGATCCAACATTAATTTATAATTCAGGAAAACTTTTACTAACAACTACGAAACAAAGACTCTGCTCATAAAACAACAAGACAATGAACATTTAAATGATTCATCAAATCAACAACACTAGGAGATTACAACCATCAACTCAGTATCAGCTTGGTTGTACATCATCATGACACAATCATAATCATTTTTTACAGTTTTCCAGACAATGGCATCTCTCTCTTTAACAAGCCTTTTGATTCTTCTAATCTTTTCACCTTCAGCTATTTCACCTTCTAACCACCTCACCATACTTCTCTAAAAATGCTCGAATGTGACTGTGTTCCATAGTCGGATCTTCAACGGGGCTTTTATTGGTGAATAAACCAGTAGAGCATCTCTTTTGGTAAGAAGAGTGTTTGGGTTGGTAAAATACTTTGTGGCCGGATCCATATTTCAGACTAAAAATTAAGAAATTTGTGTACCAGATCTGAGATTTAAAGGTTACACACAATGCTATTTATAGAAAATAGAAAAATAATTAAATATTTCACTGCTCGTCCAATGGATGGTCGAGCATCATCATGCCATAATTTAAGTTTATTAAATAAAATTAAAACTCAAAAAGCTTACATACAAGCTAATCAACAACAACAACAACAACAACAACAACAACAACAACAACAACCAACACAAGTGAATCTTCGACTCCTCTGTTAACTTCGTCACTATTGCTAAAAATATACATTGAACATCTTCATCATTTTCTATACGATCCAAGTAATACATGTGTGTACCCTTCGGGCTTGCATCGATCAGCGTTATATACGGACAACGATACTCCATTTTTCTCACCTTCATACGACGACCACCCAGCTGTCGCAAACCCGTGTTAATTGTTGCAATCACGGTTCTGAAATTCCACTGTGGATCTAGGTGAACACTAATTTTTTTTATCTTGCCCATAGAACGCAAGAGCTCGAACAAACATTTTTGAAAATGCAAATACCTAGCCTGAATGATTTGTGTTGATGCACATCAATCTATTTATAGAAAAATATTACATTTAAACTTGGTCATTCATTGGCTGAGAATCTCTAAACACTCGACAACTCATTGGGCGAGTATCAATCATTTTTAAAAAATTAGCAAAAGAAAAAAAATTTAAAAATTATTTAATTCATAAAATATATTTTTATTAATTAAAAGTATTATTATAATTAATTAAATAATATAAAAATTTGAAAAACAAAAAAACATAATAAAAAACCCAGGTGTTCGCCAATTGAATAGACGAACACCTTCATGCATGCCACACCTTCACCTACTCACTAACTGAGTGGACGAACACGTACTTAAATCAGAATAAATTGAATTTTATGGTATATAAATTTCACTAATGGGATAGAAGAGTAAAAATCTTGAACATAGTTAACTTTTAAATTTTTATTTTTGGGATAAAATTTTAAAATTTAAAATTTAGATAGGTTTTTCATAGTAGTGGAGAGCAACATTAAAAGTGCAAAGAATCATTTGAGTTGATTTGGACGAGTGTATTCACATGTTAGTCAATATTAATGAAAGCCTGTGCCCTGTAGCCCCTCTAGAGAACCATATATTGACATGTATTAATTGATTTTAATTTGAGTTCATCCAATACTAATTATGTATGCAAAAATAAACTAAAAATTGAGCCGCAATTATTTTTCCCTTTTCTATTTTTATTGGATCCTTTTGACCGTCTTAATATATCATCCACTTTAATAAATACATCATTTCTATAAAATAATTATTTCAAAATGAATATTATTTTTAAAATTTTAATTCAACATCAGTTATTAATTTTTTAATCGTGATCTCAAATTAATATGATATTTTTCTCTCAAAATATTATATTATATTTTGTATCTATAATAATAGTAATACACCATTTATTTGATATAACTATTATCTATTTCTTCTATTTTATATCTTACTATTTGTATACAAACTTTAAAAAATATTTAATTTACAACACAGAGTAAACAGAGTAATTTTATATTGTTAATTTGTATTTTAAGAACACAAATTAGAGAATCTAAGAAAGAAACTATTTATTTTATAAATTTGAGTGTACAGTTTTACGATATATATTTTTTTTATTTTTATATATGTTTTATTTAAAGAAGGTATATTAGTACAAGAATAAGGCATTTATCTATGGAATTGGAAATGATTAATGGAGTTTTGGTGCGGTTAAACAAATTTTTGATGTAATAGAGAGATGACTGGCCTACAAGATTAACATTTCAATATTTAAGTCAGTTGTCGAGAGAAAAGTGGTGTGAAAGTAAATTGTGGTTATAACATACCTTAGATCTTGTGTGAGGTCCTTTATATATGAGAAGCGATTAGAGTTCCCCTTAATTTACAAAGTAGTATGTGGACTTGGAGGTTGTGTGTTCACTGGGCCTTTCAGTTATTGGACATCTGGATGACTCGAAATAGTTTCCTCCCAGGCTTGCCATAACGTGGTAATGGGAAATCTTCCAAAATACCAGGTCTGTGTTGCCGTCAACGCGAGTCTTTTAATTTGAGAATTGAAAGAGATTCAAATATCCTAATTGAGTGACTTTGGGATAGACACATTAAATTTTAGTCTCATAATTGTGACACTCTGAAAGATTGCCCTTACGCATAGCCTTAGGCTCTTAGAGTATGTGTGGCTCTCCCGACTCAAGTGTACTTTCACATTGTGGTACTTTTGAGACAAATCTGACAATTGATTTTCATCTGTCTGTTTTACTTCATTGTGGGTTATTTGTCTACTTATCCCACGACACTATATAAAGGTTATTTCACCTTCCAAGAAACGTTTCCACACTTTGTGTAAACTACAATTTCCCTATTCTCTTTTTAAACTTCGTATTCTTCTTCCTTGAGTCTCAACCCATTTTACGTGTTCCTTTCTTCCTTTGGGTTTTGTGCACCCTTGGCTCATCACACTTTCAGAGAAACCTTTTAATCGTACTTCTCGCTTCAAACTTAATCGTACCACTTATATCTCTCCCATTTATTATTATTTCTTTTCTCCTTTATTTTAGGCATGGTCAATGTATGGGTGAACCTTAGAATGTTATAGAAATATCCAATGGCGATGATATAAGTGATGCTTCGTCTCACACTAGGGTAGTAGACCCAAAAAGCTTGGATCTGAATCCTTTGGTTAGTTATAAGTCAAATGGGGATTCTATCGAAGATGGTAGCAAACTATTCAGTCCCCTCTCTAGTGGAAACATGAACGCTTCTTCAAAAATAGTTGGAGGAATGAGCCATGATCATCCCATTCTCGGAGAGGCTAGTGTTAGTCCCTCATCTTCTATGTTACCCAAATAGGTCTTGATTCAGTTGATGTGTATAGTGACTACCCAAGGGTTTGCGTTTTATTTTAGTTTTTTGGATTTTGAATGGATGAGAAACCAATGGTAATGAGGTTAGAAAGAATATCAACTTTTGGGATATTCCTGAATTCATGATGGAAATTGTGTTTTTGTTGACAATGAGGTAGTTATGATTCGAAAGGATCAATAAGGTCTTATGTTGCCTGCCGATGTTGCTCAATATTTTCAGATGGAGACTGAATTGGTGGGGATTGTTTCTACTTTCAGTGAGGCTCACAACTAGGAGGATGCTTATTCGGATGTATGGTCATCTTGTGACTAGTCTGTTTCCCCCGTCGACAACCCTCCACATCAACTATTGGTGTAAGCCCTATAGGCCAATACTTTTGGTACTTGTATTGAATTATTTATTAATAATAAAAGGAATTTCTTTATTATGTTTGTTTTTCCAGAATAATAAAGTCCCTAGAATAGCTAGTTCGTTTAATGAAATATTAAATGTGACTTAATCATGAGATCTCGTTAAACATAAGAACATTATTCTTAAAGTATCTGTAGTCGAGCTTTATAGTGAAGTGGAATAACCTTAAAGCATTAAGACTATTATGTAGATAAACTGATGATCACATCTCATAGATCATAGATAAGGACTTATCAAGTCTTAACATAGGTATGAATATTAAGAGTAATATTTATACTAGATTGACCCGCTATGAGAGTACTACATAGAATGTTATGCAAAGTCTCATAAATTACTCTCATGGTGATAGTGGTGTATACCACCCTTCGACCTGAAACCACCATGGACCCTAGATGTAGAGTCGAGTATCTTATTATTGATCTAACATTGTCCGTAACTGGATGATCATAAAGACACTTGATGGGCACTTCACAAAGCATGCTAAGGGACATGAGTGACTTAGATGGAATTTGCTCATCCTGCATAGTAGGATAAATGTCTAAGGGCTCAATATTGAACTGGACAAGGATGACACGATATATGCCTTGTGTTCAATATAGATATAAGGGTAAAAGGGTAATTGTGCACACAAGTAATATCAAAAAGATTTTGTTAGATCACATGACATTTTTGTGACTTGGATAGCAGTGATGTGTTGCTCGATACCGCTCGCTATTTATTATATTAAATATATGATTTAATATAATTGTCAACGTCACGAGAACCTACAGAATCGATCACACACATAAGGACAGTTTGATGAGAGATATAATAAATAAGAAACACTATAAGATATGGTGTATTTGAGAGAATTGTGGAACACCGTAAGGTACGATGTACTTAATTGAAATATGGAAAATCATATAATATAATAATAAGAGTTAATATTATTATTATTATTTTATTATAATATAATAATAAAATATGTTTATTATTATTATTATTACTATTATATGGTGCACTTAAGTTGAGCTTTTTAGCTTGCAACCCACATAAGTGATTCTATAAATACAATCCTTGTGTAGAAGTTTGAGAACTTGATGAAATTCAGTTGGTGAAACCCTCACCGTTTTTCTCTCTTTCTCTCTCACTCTCTCTCTCTCTCTCACTCACTCTCTCTCTCT